CTGAGCTTTGCTTCCTTGACGATTTTTCCGTAAAGTCCACTTCCATTCCCTTAGTGCGACCGTTTCGTCTAATAAGCAGGAGTGTTTTAGCTTGACCATTTCTGCCAGGGTTAATTTTTCATTTCGATGACGGACCTGTTAGTAGCCATTATGCATGCGTATTTTTGAACTTTATGCGGCAAACGCTTTGGTAACACTAAGCAAACCTGAAAGTGCTATTGCGGTAATCGATTGACCGCGGTCTTTAAGCGATTCATATCTAGATGTAATTTTCAAAATAGTGAATATAGGGTGCCATAGGCTTCCTGCAATCGGAAACTTCCACCGCTTACATTTACGAACTGTTACCTCCATATAATGTCGAACGTGTAGCTCAAGGTACTTCAAATAACGCTCACTTTTGTTGGTTAGTTGGCCATCTTAAACCCGTTTACGAAACCGTTCATCCTTCCATGTTTGCATGATTCTACTTTCGTTGTGATTCTCCCTCCTGTTAAGGTGTTCAAAATGATCTGTATTGGACCCCACAGTCTTCTTCCGGTTCACTCGCATGCAGTTAAGTATACGTAACCGGTGGTTCCATTAATCATGTACTGACTTGTGCCCAAAGCAACATGCTGCGTCGCCGGATCGATTGCTCTTAACGCATTGCTGAGCGTTACTCATCAGCAGAAGGCAGTTATGTTACACCAGATGGTGTACAGTCACGGTATGGTCATCTAGGCACAGGTAAAATGGTCTGTAAAGCGCCTAGATAGATCAACTTTTTTCAGTAAACATACAATTGGTAATGTTTACCATTTGTCAAGCTTGGTAAGCTAGACATACTCTCAACTACTCACCAGTATGCCTATGGTCGATAAGCACTGGTATAGCTTTTATGATTCAGCTTTTCAGATTAAGTTCAGTTGCACAACTGTGGACCGAGCCCCGAAATGCATTGAATGTAGTTGCCAAAATACACAGCGCAAGGCTACCAATTACGCACAGCGGCAACATAGTGGAGTTCTTGGCCAACTGCCTGTGAGCATAGAAGGAAAAAGTAGTGGCTAAACAAAGCAAAATGGAAAGAAAATCAACTTCCAGATACAAATAACGAGTGTGGGAACGTCACTGACAGCGTGAGTGCAATATGTTTGCTAAGGTCAACAACTTTTGGAGTTGATGATTCCAAGGACCCCATCCAGGTAAACAGCACGCGCCGGCTTGACCAAGTCTTTCAGTTAATCTTTCTATGCCTCCATGCCAAGTCATGGGCTGGCCAACTCGAGGTTTTGCACAACTTGATGCAGCCAAGGTGTATAATGCACGCTGAGGAGGAAGATCAAAGAGCATCCAGTGGACATGACGTATCCATTCACCGATTAACTAAACATAAGAATATTCCTATTTTGATGAAGGGGGACACGCTATTACATGCATGATCAAGTCTTTGACAGAACCACGGAAAACTATTGGCGTATGTACACCAAACGACAGAGATAGGGGTTGCAAAATACATGGCACGGAAAATAGCGCAAACCTTTTAAATGTGAATGCTGCCAGAATGCAGGGCACGTTCACTGGGCTTCAACGAAGTGCGGTAAGAGCTCAAAGTGTCACTTTTATGGAAATGCAAGGGGTTCCAATTGCTACGGAGCCTTATCTCCATTTCTTCGGGGGCGTAGGTACTTTACTGAGGGTTAGATAAACAAATTTTGCTCTGGAATATCGGATATTGAGAGCATTCTCCATGGGAAGTATTGGGCAGTGAAATTATTTTGGTGGGGAGTCACATCTGCCACATTGCAGTGTTGGTAAGCCAATATTTGTGGCGTTTAACGATATAACGCTTGCTAAGCGAATACACTACGTCCTAAAACACTGACAATTACCGCCGTTTGAAAAGCATTCAGGTACTGGCACTCATCTGTAAGACTAATTTTCCGCAAGTCTAATCGCAATCAAGTTGCACCAGATATTTCGCTGTCTCAGCAAATTGCTTAGCCAGGATACACCAGCAACGATTGCGGCCGGTGACAATGGATAGAGCTATTGCTAAGGAGCTTGTGATGCGGAGTTGCGCAGGTGAGTATGGAACGCAAACCACTAGCAGTATCATTGTCAGAGCAGATAACCGACATTCCGGTTGGGGGTTGCAGGCGGATCCCTGATGGTTATCTACCGCATGTAAGTGGAGCGCGCGCGTGAGGATAAAGCTATTTTGAGCTCACGTTTTAAACTTGAAGTACGTTTGAAACACATTGTTTAAGTCGGTAGAGAATGCCGAGTGAGAAGGTTGCTTTGGTCTTTAGAAGCATGCGTGGTGGAGCGCAGATCAAAGACAATATACATCCGAAAGGTATAAAATATTCTGCATACCACATTGGTGTTGTAGATGAAGCATCCATAGCAGAATGGCACCATGCAGATTAAGGTTCTGCTATGACATGGGAAGTAATGCACTAGCGAGGTGGACGGAGCATAGTGCCATGGCCCTGCACGTTTATTGAACACTTGCAAGTAGACGAAGTTGTTCAAACCGGTAAAAGATAAAGATTACAAGGCTGCTGCGTTCTAGAATAGAGATGGCTGGACGTAACAGAACAGACCATGACAGCTAAACATCTGCGGCATACGACTGATGGCAGACCACACTGGCCAAGTGGGTATAGTGTCCATGGGATAATGACGCCAAGTAGATAAAGATGTTGATACCAGGAGAAATAATCCACTGACGAGGTGGCTGGAGCATAACGCCAAGGCAGCGCAACTAAGTTAAACATTTGGAACGAGATGAGTAGCAGAGCATACGGGTCAACAGGCTTTCATCATGGTTAAAAATCTAGAGGCATCGGATAGATGCTAAACCACACTGGCAGGGTGGGTAGTATATCCATCGGATACTGACGCCAGCCATATATAGAATCTGATAATAGGCTAATTAATTTACTGGAATGGTGGACGGAGCATAACGCCATGGCAACAAAAGTAGCTTGAGCAATTGCACTGAGATGACGCTCTATTACAGATAATGATTCGGAGTTGATAATGCTTTGAAGCCAATAGTTCAACTCAGTAAAGTATATTTATCTAAAGACCCTGTAATATACAGAATACAGGTATTTCGAGATTTATAGACAGACCACAATAGATAAACATCCAGTGGCATATGCTTGATGGCAGACCACACTAGCAAGGTGGGTAACTTATTCCTTGGATGCTGACGATAAGCATATAAAGCGTCGGATACCATGAGAAAGAATTCTGCGTGGTAGACGAGACATAATGTCATGGCATCGCAAGTACGTTTAACAGTTTCAGGAAAGTTCAGTACTTTTGAGTTGATGGTCTTATAGTGAACAAGAGTTGAACAAAATCGTTCCAACCACTAACATAACTTAGCAACGCCTTCAAATTTGGCCGGGCTCTACGACCCCTTCCTTCTAAGTTTACTAACATACACGTTCTCACATTCTAGCTTTTGCTCTATCGGTGCTTGTTCTAATTCATTACTCACCCAGCGGTGCAAGTCTATTAACACGTTGTTTCAGAATACCGCTATATTTCTCTGGGCTTGTATTTCGTGTGTTGCCGAAAACTTGTATTATCAGAAACAGACTGAAACGAATCCGTAAGTAGTGCAAAATTCCTTTAAGAAACGTCGTTCTGGATGGAGAGTTGCTCGCCACATAGAAAAGTTGTGAAAACTGAGCGTCCCAGTGTCGTCTAGCAAAAACATTCGTTTGCTCATGGGGAAAGCAAATGAACTATCAAACGTTTTCTCAAGTTTCAGCAGCTTGGAATCATTATGTTGCTAGCAACCTGGCTCCATGAAGGAGTGGGTGATTCAGTCGTATTCGTTGGGGGATTTATTTGCCATCTGGGTGAGAGCTTATGTACCTACGGAAACCGAGGTAATGGAGTACTTATTTACACCGATCAGTATTTAGTTCTCCAACAAAACGTGTTTACTGCTTATCCTCCGACCTTATCAATTGTTTAGGCACACAACTGAAGCCAAGCTGTTTGAATGGCTACAGCCTAATATTGTTGGATAACATTTACATATCGCACATTTGTCCCAAACCTGAAGCGGTGAATTTTTATGATGATTTTTTTGCAGCTGACTTAGAACACTTCCGTCGCTCTGTGCAGGTTCGGCGGAGGATTCTATAAATGTGACACTACTTTTCTTACCGCTCTTCAGCCTGCCTACCAGGTCAACCGAAACCTTGGAACTAGTGTTTGTTAATAATCCGATGTGATTTTCCGGATATACTGGTTCTGCAACCGGTAATTCTGATCATCTTGCAGTGCTAGCCGGAGATCTGAGCGCTCAAGTTGGAAAATTATCCACAGATGAGCAGCATCTGGGCGGCCAACGTGGTATAGGCTCCCGTAATGATTACGGTGAGCGGTTACTTCATTTGTGTGAGGATGCTCGCTTATTTCTTGCGAGCATTAATTTCGGACACAGCACCCGCCGGAGGGTGGCTTGGCGCCCATCAGCCTCGAACCAGCTATAGACGCAAATCGATCACATTGCTATCAGTTACCACTGGAGAGGCTGCGTCCAGAACTGTCGCTCGATTTGGAGCACAGGTGTTGACACCGATCATGCACTTGTATGTGCTGACCTGCGGATGCGCTTTGGTGGACGCCCGCGATGATTTTGTGAGCGCATTGACACCGGCAGTCTGGTGCATCCAGCTGTTCTGAACGCCTATCAAATTACGCTGCCATCCAAGTTGGATAAACGCTCACTGGATGCAATTGAAGCTCACTGGTCACATATTCACCAGACTTTATTAGCAGCATGCAAACCCTCATGTGGTATGTCTAATCGCCAACATGGACTTTGGGTATCTTCACAGTCTCTGGAACTTATAGATGCTCACCGGCATATTCCAACTGGAAGCGAAAACAATTAAGCTCGCAAAGTGCTCCGAGCAAAACATCATGCCAGCCTGAAGAAAGACCGCGAATTCTGGTGGTCTCATCGTGCAACAGAGATGAAAATGGCCGTTGCCCTTAGTAACCATCGTGAATTATTCCGTCTGATACCGGAAACGAGCAGCAGGAGACCTGGTGTTTATGAAACTATACGTGACGAGAGTGGACAGCCTATCCACAACTTATCAAAACGCCTGGAACGTTGGGCTGAGCACTTTGAAAGGCAATTTAATCGGTCGGAATTGTTAGATTTCTCGCCGACCAGTGATCGACCCGCTCCGTGGGCTGTTCCTTTGGATCCACCCTCTCGCTCAGAAGTCGAACGTGAGAGCGAACTGTTGAAGTTAAATAAAGCCTCGGGACCTGATGACCTACGTCCAGCCCTCTTCAAATTCGGGGGACCTGCTCTTGTGGATGATGTACACGAGTTTCTAGTGAGACTGTGGGAGCAGGAAACTGTCCCAACCGATTGGAGCCGCTCCATCATTGTCCCAATTTTCAAAGGAGGCTCACGATCGGAATGCGGCAGCCATAGAGGAATCAGTCTGATCTCCATCGCCTCCAAATTGCTTGCCTCTGTCATCCTTCACCGATTGACTGGCACTCGTGAAAGCCAGATTCGTGAAGGGCAAGCCGGATTTCGTCGAGGTCGTTGCTACCTTGACCACATCTTCACCTTGCGTCAGTTGTTGGAGCATCATCACATATATTGGCGGCCCACCGTTGTCGTGTTCCTCGACATCAAAGGTGCATTCGACTCGGTGGATAGACATGCGCTTTGGGACTGTCTACTCAGGAAAGGTTTACCTGAGAAATATGTGAGTATTATCCGAGCATTATATGCGCGTAGCTCGGGCAGAATGGGGTCTTACGGCAAGCTGTCGTCGCCCTTTAATATCTCCAGCGGCGTGAGGCAAGGATGCTCGCTGTCACCTTTCCTCTTCAACTTCGCTGCTGACAAAGTCATGGAAATCGCGTTCATAGGTCACGACTTAGGAGGTGTGGATCTGCTCCCAGGAGCACGATTTCTTGACTTAGAGTATGCTGATGATAATGCCCTGATCTGTGACAGCTTACAAACGTGCCAAGCAGCACTGGACAGATTAGCACTAGCTGTCCGTCACTTCGGGCTTTGCTTCGCACCCTCGAAGTGCAAAGCGTTTCTCCAAGATTGGTCCAGACCGCCTCCTACGCTGACCCTTGGTGGGGATCAGCTAGAAGTCCTTCAAAAATTCAACTACCTGGGAAGTTGTATCAGCGTCCGTGGGACTGAAGTTGAGATCACGAATCGTACAGCAAAAGCACGGGGCGCTTTTGCTAACCTTCGCCACTTATGGCGCCGGCGCGACATCACTCTTGCCCTGAAGGGTAGAGTGAACAATTCAGCGGTACGTTCGACCCTACTGTATGGTTGCGAAATCTGGCTGCTTAAAGCAGCGGACCTGAAGAGGCTGGTTACGTTCGACCACCGGTGCCTTCGTAATTTAGCTCACATTTGGTGGGAACACCGCGTGGGCAACGAGCGTGTTCGACTCCTCGTTTGCGAAAAAGGAAAAGGAACTGAACCACTCAGCATCGTCAGTTCACGCATCAGGCTCCGATGGCTCGGCCACGTGTTACGCATGCCAGCCCACCGACTCCCGCGACGTTTGGTTTGACACACTTGCTGATATGGCTAGGAGCCGATCTCAGTGGCGTTCGTGCAGTGCGTTTCTTCGTCCCACCCCGTCCCTCTTAGCCTGCCCTCCAACCACGATTTCATTATTCAGCCTTATATAATTTTGCATAGTAATTAATTTTGGTGCACAGCAGCCGGCTGGTAGCTTACCGGAGCGATGCCCATCCGTTACCGGTAGCTCAGCCAGCTTGCACCAGTTGCTGTTTTTTCTCTCCTTTTTTTCTATTTATTGCGGCACAGTAGCGGAGATGTTCCTCACCTCTAGCAAACGTGTAGTATGATGATGATGATTTCTGAACATTCAACTAGTAACATTGCACCTGACATCTATAGCAAGAACGAACACCAACACCTTGCTTCCTGCAAAGCTCCAAGGGTCAGGTGAAGACAGTGCTCTCCACAAACTCTCGACGGAATTCGCGAAATGATCGCATCGACAGAATGTAGTATTTCCTCTAACCCTGATATATCCAGATATTGTGTCACTTTGCCAAGCTATTTAAGCTTCTGTTTGTTATCTATTTTCCTTTTGAGACCAGTTACGTCCGCGCTGACAAATTTCAGTACACTACGTAAAGCGGCTACGCTGCCTTCAGGAGAAAGCATTTAAAGAAAAAGGGCACCTTATTATGATCACACAAGGGACGTAGTAAGGAACAACTACAACATCTTAACAAAGTGTATGTCCTGTCTGTTCTTGGGAACGGCAGTATGCTTCAACGCTGGAGGATGCTGAAAACGCTTGGCGGAATTACTCGAAGTTTGCTTTAATTCGCGGTAGACATAGAGAAATTGAACCAGAAGATCGGCAAGTGCAATCCTATCACAGCTGCAGTCCTCATGTGAACAAGTTCTGGGGCCTGCGGAAATATTGCCCACCGATGACACTGCACCTGTAAGTAATCTATCGATTCGTTGCTACGAGCCAAACTCCCTGATTTCAGTGCATATGAATGCCGAGAACCATCAGGTCGACCGAGAGCATGCCAGTATCCTCGGAAAAACTAAAAGTCGGCAAGCAAGTGAGTTCATTGAAGCCTGGCATTCAAAATAGAACTCGGTCAATAAGCACTTGGACATTGAAGTCGCTTACGAGGTAATGCGAACCAGGCTCCTGAAGCCGCACTGATGATGTTGCCTAGTCAGGCAACGAAACGTTTGCACAACAATCACCCAGCTCAGAGAACAGCTCAAAACCCAAATCTATTCGAACTTCTACACCCCGGTAAAGCTAGTGGGCAGGAGATGCTATGTCCTATCTTAGTCAAAGAATGTGCCGATTGTTTGGCAACACCCCGTGCAAGTATATACACAATGTGTATGCAGCTAGACAAATAGTCGTTTCCTGAAAAAAGTGTCAACATTAGACTATGGCCACAAGAGCAGCCAAAGAAGATAGACCTTTCGCGTGTCCATCCGTTGCTTTGAAGGTTCTGTAGAAATACATTCTCAAAATCTTGCCGTCCAGAATATTCTCTAAAGACCCTCTTCATTTTGCTTATTGTAGTTCATGGTCTACCCCAGTGCTGTGATTTCCTCGTACATTCTCTACTGTCATCGCTTAGCAATGGAAATAAAGCAACTTGGATGTATTTTCTTGACTACGGCAATGCATTTGGCTGTGTAAACAGCAAAGTACTTTTAGAAGCTCTACGTATTCAAGGAGGGAACACTTCTATTATCTGTTTAATGGGTAATTAGTTTGCTGTACGCACTCACAACACCCGACTCAGTGGCAGGTGTTCATCCCTACTACTCACCAACGCAGATGTCCTTTAGTGAACAATTCTGTTGCCTTTTCTCTTTTATACTTACGCCAGCACTAGGCCAACAATAACTGAAGCAACTGTGATAAAATATGCGGACGATATCGTCCTGGGCATCAAACGCCAAAGCGCTGCTTGTTCATTCAGACTACAAGCGCGGCTAAACGGCCTTAATGTCTGGTTCAAATCCTGTGATGTCTTTTTATACTTAAATGTGCCATGACATTCATTTTCGCTACACAGGGGCCAGGTAAACAGAGCTCCTAACACTGTGTAACATGTTACATATTGCTGGCGACAGATTACAGTCCTCCACGTTAGTAAAATATCCGGGCGCGATATTTGAGTTACGCTCTACCTTGGACGCTTCAAGTAACTGATACTTACACAAAAGTCATTAAGCTGTCATTGTATGCATCTGGTCTCATAGTCTTCTGCGTTCCTCGTGCGTTGATCGTTCGCTTTGTCAATGTCCGTGTTCTTCCCTATTGGACGTACTGTTACCCAGTGATATTTCCCGGTCTTTTGGGTAAACATTGTAGGTTAATTTTCAGATAAGTAAAGTACTTTGCCCGATGTAGCGTTGTTCCGATATCTGCGTTTACCAACACGCTTATTTCTATACACAAAGGTTCTTGTAAAATGCTGGTCGTTAATATAGAGACCAATACAAGTCCTTCCTTACATACTTCTTTATCTGAATTTTTATCAACTTCACTCACTGAGCAGAACTACAAGCTGAACTATGCCTGCACGTAAGCTTACCGCCCAACATTAGCATCCCTTACCTCTCGCACCTTTTGCGAAGACCCAACTCCGTCAGCAATAACTTAACCAGTCTATATTCAACTTGGGTGTGTTGTTTGTCCTTTTCTACCCGTTCTGTGATGTATTGCTTCGCCACTGATTTGCTTTTTTGGTAACTTGTCGAGGTCGTGCATATTGTAGTTGAATATTCACACATGCAGTGTACATAAAGCGATTTCTTGCCTTGAGTTGACTTGATGAATCTAAGGGGACAGCATGCCCGAGTTGGTGTTTCGGGCTGGCCATATACGTCTTTGGACCTACGAAGCTTAACTTCAAGGATTTAACCTAGATACGAAGATCCAGGTAAGTTTACTCAACACTACTATGCAGGGCTCACAGTGCGCCTTACAAAAATGACATAGAAAAGAAGCATTCTGAACATATAGAAGAAAGTAAGGAGAGCTGGCGTCCTCGAGCCTTACAAAACGTAAGACCACGTTGTGTATGCATACCTATAAATTATGGCATAAGGTGTTTGCATGTGCATCCTGAGCTTGCAATTGATAAATGAAAACCTGTATACAGCAACTAGGTGTCAGAATACTTGAAGAGCAATGTTGCAAAAAAAGCGCAGTACACGCGGTGCGTAAGGAAACAGCAACTGTCTCAACTTTGGAGCGATAAGTGATAAGACCAAATGCGCTTTTACAACAGAGATAGTTCGTCAGCGGTAGTAAAGCAGTAGAGCTTACTTTTGATATAAAACCGTACAGTGGCACCAAACTAGGTCAGGTGTGCCACCCAAAAGGAGAGCGCTGCGACGTCGCAGGTTAGTCAAATGAACCTAGAAATCAGCTAGGTAAAGCGCAGGTATTATTGTGTCATAGAACCTGCTGGCGTTTTAATGATTTAGTGTAATACACTAGCAACCAGTCAAGTAAGAGAAGCATTGCTTTACAGAAATATGGGCCGTAGCTGCAAGGAAGATAGGCTAGGGGAGCAAGCGATGCTACGAATATTCAGATGTGAAGTCAAAGGAGGCAACGGTTTCAGATTGCTTAAGTTAACTACTCAAAGGTGGAGCTCTTTGTTTTACAAATAAGTTAAACGGACAGGGGAAACAGCTTGGATAATAGCCTGATTGATGACGTAGCGAAAGTCGCTCTTGCTTGAGCCCTTAAGGGATTTGGGTTGTCGAGCAGTCGGAGAAGAGGAGGAGGGCTGAGTTATATAAACGATTGCAGTAGCTGTACGGGAGGCATAGATGGGTAGCCAGCGATGCTATGTATATTTAGATGCAAAATAAAATGGGGCAAAGATGCCTGAAGTTTTAAGTTAACCACTCAAACGTGGAGCTTTGCAATGTCACAGGTCAGCTAAAGGGACACAAAGACCAGCAAGGAAAAGACCTATGTTTGTTTAATACACGTTAGCTAGAAGTGAGAACATCTCAGCTACTGTGCCGCAATGCATAAAGTAAAAGGAAAATTAATGCAACATTTGCATGCTGGCTGAGCTACCAGCAACGGACCAGCATTGTTTCGGTAAGCTACCAGGCGGCTACTCGGCAAAAAGACAAATTATTAGGCAAAAATATATTACGCAACTAAACAAGTTCGTGGTTGGAGTGGAGGCTAAAAGGGAAAGGGAGAGACAAAATACTCACTACACGAATGCCACTGAGGTCGGTTCCTTGCCTTGGCAGCAAATGTATCTAGCCAAAAGTGTTCATCGGCTTTTGGACCCCAACCAGGGATCCGAGAAGCTCCAACCGAGACCAGCTCAGAAGTGAGGGCCTTCATTCCTCTTTAATAAGCCATTGCTTGGCCACCCCTCCTCTTCTTCCATCCACACCTCCGGTGAGCAAACAACGCATGTCACGAAAGTCGGTGGGCTGTCATGCGCAGCACGTGGCCCAGCCATCGGATCCTGGTGTGTGAAAGGATGGTGAAATTATGGAGTGATTCAGGTCCTTTTCCTGTGCCGTAAACAAAATGTCCAACATGCTCGTTACTCACGCCAGATGTGAGCCAAACTGCGGCACTGCTGGTCGTAAGTAACTAGCCTCTTTGTGACTGC